ATAAGCTCCTCGCGCTCCTTGACCCAGTTCTGCTGGGAAAGATTGCTTCGGCTGCGCAGACTTGTCGCCTCACGCGATGTGTCCTGCAGCTCATCCCGGAGCTTCGCCACCTCTTCCTCGGATGCCTTGGCGCCATTCTGCAGCTCCTCGTTCTGGGACTCGAGCTCCTCGATGCGCTCCTTGGCCTCTTCCAGCTCGGCGCGATCGCGCTTCAGTCTTTCGCCGAGCGTCGACTTGAGGTGGTTGACTCGCTCGAGGAGACCCTGGTAGCTCTCTTCTGCCTGTTCCTTGGCCGACGACGTCTCCTCCAGTTCCGACTTGAGCTGGGTGACGGTCTCGTTGTGTGTTCCCTGAATGGTCTCCAGCTGCTTCCTTAATTGCTCGACCTCTGATCGCAGCGCCTCTCGTTCCTTTGTGAGGGCGTCCAGCTTTGCCGTGGCATCGGGGTTGGTTCCCTGCTCCTCTGCGGCCGCCTCTATCGGGGGATTCGCATGTCCGTTGCTCGTCGGCCGTTCCGTGTAGCCATTGGCTGTTGTGTCTTTATCCGTTGACTGTTCGGGGCTGGATTCTTCTATCGGCGCGGAAGCCTAAGATGGCAGTCAGCTAAGCTGGGCTTTGCGGGGGGATCAAGGGAGTATCACCTGCACCGGGGTTTCCGGTTCATCATCGCCATACTCTGCATTTTCGGACGGAGGAGGCGCGCTGTCTGTGTCTATGGGTTCCTTGGGCTTGTTGGCGTTGTTCTTCTTCTTCTTGCCGCTCTTCTTCTTCCCTGCAAAGTCCCCCGTTAGCTTGGGGCCGCGCATCAACGTACACGCGGGAAGGATTCAATCGGGGTCACGAACCTGAAGATGCGTTTTGAACCGGATCAGTGGAGGGAGCGGCGGCCGACATGTTGTCTTCTCAGATGCATCGGGATGGTGTGGATAGCCCTTTGAGCTGGTGGGCGCGGGAACGGGGGAAGCTCTTTTTCTTCTTCTTTCTCGAGGGTCCGGTCGGTTGGGAATTGGGATGTCGACAGTTTGCACCTGGGCGGGCTTGCATGTACTTACACCACGTAAGCTAGGTTCGCAAATTAGCGAGCGTGTTCACTTCCCACGCGGAACCTAGGGTGCTGCTCCCCCGTCCCCCACACTAGGTAGGTGGCCACTGAGCTCCACAGAAAGGTACCGATAGCGAGGTGTATTAGCTAAGGCCTGGTGGACACGGCGCTTAAACGCTGGGAACCATCCAGTCGAGCCAGGACGTGAACATTGTCATCGTAAACACAATCGTGGTTTTTATCCTAGAGAGTCATGTATTTTTTATTGAGCTATTCGGACTCTATCCTGTTCTCAGTCTTATGATAAGGACAAGAAACCTGCAGTTTTCATGCTGGATTTCACGGTTTGCTATGAGCACAGAATCGGTACATGAAACGGTGGCCCTAGCAGGTGGTCAACTGACTAACACGAGCCACACTTTGAGGCTTGCACTTTCTGTGGCTCGACCTGCTAGTGTTGAACAATTTTGGATGACTCTTGTATAAAGCGATGCCTAGGAATCAGAGTATCATGACAAGAATTCAATGTGGCATCTTTCCTTGTTTAAGACACCTCAAACAGCTTGTTTGTTTCTCGTACAAAGTGCACCTCTGTATCGGCTGGCGCAAGTCCGTCCACGGTTCACGACCATGGGACTGAGGTGGGCAGATAGCGGGCCCCTCGCTTAGTCATTCTTATCTTATCGCCCAAAGCCTTCAAGAAGCGTCTCCGTCTGACGGAAATTTTCCCGTTTCCTCTTTCCTTCTTCACATATTTTACCCTTCGCTGAAATATCACTAGAGCAAGCGCATTTTCCCCAATGACTTGTTCATTTTTGACGCTGAAGTAGAGTGATTCAAACGCCTTTTATAATCCCGGTGCTTGCCCCCAACTTTTTGGGTTGAAATGGGTGCGACGGGTTCGCTATGTGCGCACATACTAACTTGAACTCATTGAATTATGTCCCATTGTGTGTTCTTGACGCAACGACTCCTGAGCGACACAAACACGAGTAGAATACCTGATGCCAAACAACAGAAGAAACACAAGACTTTTCGTGAAACCCCAAGAGATGGAGCGAAACAGTTCCGTCGTGACGAGGGATATCATTGAAAAAGAGCCTCTCTTTAACCCCTGGACTTTCTCCTCTTGCCGCCCTTGGGCGTCGCCTTCTTCGCAGACTTGGGCGTCTCAACCTCGGCAACCTTCCCCTCCTCCTCCTTGGCAGCCTCCTCCTTCTTCTCCTCCTCAACCGGCGCAGCCTCGATAGCCTTGGTCTCCTCAGGCGCGTCGACAGCCATGGGCTCAGGCGGCGGCGCAACAGCCTCCTTCAACTTGGGCGCCTCAAACTCGTACCCGATAGCCTTGAGCTTCTCGGCGCGCTCCAGCCTCTTCTTCTCCTCCTTGGACACCTTGTGCGTCCAGTCGGACTCGGTCCTCTGCTTGGCCACCTCGCCGGCGGCGATCTTGTGCCAGGGGATCTTCTTGAAGCGCTTGTTGGCGCCCTTCCACACGTCCTCGTGCAGCTGGTCCGCCGGCACCGTCTTCACCTTGAGAATGTGGCCGAAAAGCAGGTAGCTGTCCATGGTCTTGGCCACGATCTCGGCCGTGCTGGCCTCGGCGAACTCGAGAAAGGCGTAGTGCTTGCTCGCGCCGGATTTCTTGTTGCGCGCCAGCCGGAGGCGGGTGATGTTGCCAAACTGTGAAAAGTAGCCCTTGAGCTCGTGCTCGTAGAAGCCGTGGGGCAGCCTGGAGATGAAGACCACGCCGGGCTCTTCCTTTTTGCCATTTGTCAACTGCTTCTGCTTCTTGAACTTGGGTACCTTGCCCACGTCCTGGCCCGACTTGAAGACGGTGCCGTCGCCGGCTGGCGCGTCCTCCGGGTCCAGGCCGGCGGCGAGGGCGGCAATGTCAGCGTCGACCTCCTCATCGTCATCCTCCTCCTCCTCGAACGCTACGACAGAGGTCTCGGCATCCTCGGTGGCTTCGGGCTCAGCCTCCTTCTCCTTCTCTTCCTCCTCGACGGGCTCGGCGGGCGCGGGGGCGGCAGACTTCTTCGACTTCGCGTTCGCCTTGACGGGCTTCTGCTTCTTCGCCGCGACGGGAGAAGCTTGCGCCTCCTCGGGAGCTGCTCGGGAGCATGGTGGTAAGCCAATGCAACATTGTTAGAATCCAATCGGGACACACCTTTGCGCTTGGGAGCTTTCTCGACCTTCTCCTCCTTGGTGGCCTTCTTGGTCACCTTCTTGGGCGCCTTTTCGGTCGCAGGCTCAACCTTTTCAACCTTTTCGACCTTGGCCGCCTTCTTCGCCACAGGCTCCTTGCCAGTGACGGCTGACAACAAATATTAGTTTTAAAAAATAAGGAACGGTCTTTCACAGCTTAGCAACTTACATCTGGTTCTTTTTCTCAGTTCGGGGGCCATTCTTGCTGATGTGTTTGAGGGAGCAATGGTTAGACAAAGTCCCTGGAAAACCGAGCCTGTACCCACACGCCTTGATCGAGTACCGTCGCAAAGGCAAAAAAAATAAAAATTTCCAAGATTCTGCCGTCCCGAGGTGGAGGCGGTGAGGCCATGCGACCCCGCTAAACCCACTCAGCGCGTGTTTCCAGCTGCCCCGAGAACGACTTTTTAGTGGGTACATTTATACTGCATGTGCGCCTGTAGTACCGTCCTTGAGCGGTGTTGCAGCACCTATTATCTACTCTTTACCAGGGGAGCTGAGGTTGCCTTTAGTTCCCTGAAAGGAACCCACCGCCCAGGGACTGGAAATCCGTCAATGAGGTTGATGCACAGCTAGTATCTCTCACAAACCTCAGGCTGGGATCTCATGTGAAAGAACGGCAATATCATCTTGCCATCTTACAACCAGAACGACTTTGTCTTGACGACTCCACAAGAACGCCACCCAACTGCCTGTTCACCGCAATCGAGTCGACAATTAAGAGAGAACATTTCAACCCACCGCAATCACAGCAGTTCTCACTTGCCATATCGCCAAAAACGCATCACAAAACTCGACGTATCTCATCAGGGACCCATCAGGACTTTTCACCTCCACGAGCTTAACTGAGGAGGGCCAGTCTTCCGGCGCAAATTTCCCCTGGTCCGCCCAAACTCATCAAGAAGCAACACCGTCCATACCTCTGGCGCCAACTTTACAGTCAGTAAGACCAGAGGGGGCTTACTCATAGCAGACTGCCCTCATAGGTGCCCTTATCATCAATAGAAACGTCATCATCCTCAAGAGAGCTCGCCTCGATTCAGCAACATGGCCGGCAACGATATGGAAATGTCGCACAGTGAGATGTGGGACGACTCTGCGTTGATAGAGTCATGGAACGAGGCCCTGGACGAGTACAAAGTAAGCGACAGATCCAATCTCATCAGGAGGGGAGGAGGGGAAGAGGAATTCAATACTCGCGGAAGCAGAGCAGTCAGTCGCTAACCAACCTTGCAGAAGTATCACAGCATTCACGCAAAGGGAGGCAAGCTCAAAGACCTTGATCTCCAGGAGAAGACGGAAGATACCCAGTACGGCTAAGCCTTCTTTCTTTAATCACCCCCAAGACCCAAGAAATCTTTCCCCGAGACTCTGACACGTTAATGATCTACGCAGGACCGCGGACGACGCGCAAACGCAGGCCGTCGATCAGCCAGAGATCGCGGATGATGCTGCAGAGAGAGCCGACAAAACAAAGGGGTTGAGCAGCACGGATGTAAAACACCCCCGATGATGAACCCCCTCCCCAGACGAAAATCCAGGCAGATCAAAAAAGCTTGGCTTTCTCTGTTCTCTACCTCGTCGTTATGCAGCAAATCTCTATCTTGTTCGCTTCCGCTAACGTCTTCCTTGCTCGCCCCGATCTAGGTCCAGGACCAGGCAGATTCAACAGGTGTGCCTATGGCAAAGACCAATGGCCCCCCAGGGCCTGCGACAATGGGCCCGCAGAGTCTTCTCGGATCAGGTATGTAAACTATCCCGGACTGTCCAGAGTTGGGACGGCAGTTGCATAGTAGCCTCTTTTAAACTTGAACACCGGACTGACTGAGGGCCCCTCTTTCTTCGGGGTTTGTAGTGCAAGACGAGGGTTTGAAGAGACTTTTGATGTCATGGTACTATGCTGGCTACTACACCGGATTGTACGAAGGCCAGCAACAGCAGCAGCAGCAGTAGCAGCAGCAGCAACAGCCGGGACCAGACAGATGCCCAAAGTAGATAGTGTGAGCCAATCGATACCCAGCGAGAGAGCGGCTGCAAGTGCGACGACGAGGCTGAGCAGACCCCTTGAGCCTGGCCAGCTGGGACACACGAAATGCAAGGTTGTGTGGGGAATGGGGTGAGGTTGGTCGTCCTGAAAAGCGGCTACCAGAGAGTTTATCTGATCGACGTGCGGGAGGGCGAGTTCTGTAACACGATCTGTTCCATCGTCCGATGATGCAACGGCGCCACACCGTTCCATGTCTGAGGTTCGCGTGGCATGTGTCACACGAACGACAGGAGCAGCAACCTCTTCAATCAGCAGCCTTTTGATTCGTCTTTTCTATCAAGTTGTCTGCTTGGCTCTTGGGACGGGGGAATTTAGGATGCGGTCCAAGTCGGGGTCGGGCGAACTTGGCCTGGCGGGCCCAATAAAACCTATGATGACTGCGACAGGAAGGGGAAAAAAAAAGCTAGTGTAATCATGTCGGCTATCCAAGAGTTCGTTTTGTTTCACCGTGGAAGGGTCTAGGCTTGGTTGTTTCTCTCCTTTCGCCCCGAGAGGCAACGCCCCAGCAAAATGCGTGTCAAGGCTTTTCTTATTAATCGTCATCGCGCAGATGCAGCTTGGGCGGATAACAAGGCAATGTGCGGCGACCAGACCAGTCTCTGAACAGAGAGATTCCTGGCAAGGCCGCCACGCCGCGGGCGGGCATACAAGAGATGACACTCCTTAGCGCAGGCCGACCAAGAGGTCTTGGGTATGATGAAGGCGGCCCAAGGGAATTTAGTTGAGATGGCTCTCTGTAGGGTTGCGATCGGAAACAAGTCGAAAGGTATTGGATGGAAACGTGGAGTTACAATGTTCCACCGATCCGCGGCCTCGACAATTCAAGAGTCAAGACCCATCCGGGTATTTTCAGACTGGACTCGCGTATCCGTACATATTATCATGGGCCGACTTCCGGCCAATTTGTTTCCCCTGTCGGTGAAGTGTTGCTTGAGAATCTGCATGGGCTTGGTGCACCGATTGTTCATGGTAGGATGGCGCTTTCCTGAGCCGCTCTATCCAGAAGGTTTACACAATGAGCGTGGAGATCCTCCGGACCGGAGTCATGTTGCAAAAAACGGACGTCCATCCCGAAATGAGCGATGCAGTGGATCACACGGCGCGGGTACGACGGATAGGATTAGGTTGGACTTGACAGGAGGCCGATGCCTTCTTTCGGCCCATGCCCGAGCAGGCTGGCGATGCGCTGTATACGTACGTCAGGCTGACCGAGCCACTTAGCAGCAAGCAGTACCACAGGCAGGCCGCACCCGGAGATGGATCTTGACATGACAAGTACCGGCGGAAGGAAGGCTGCGCCAAGTGGTGTATTGACGGTATTGTGCACAGTCAGTCTCCTTGCGACTCGGGCCTAGAAATGACGGGATGATGGTATGATGGCAGTGCTGGAAGGAGAATAAGCCGATGTCTAGCGCTGTCGGTGGACCTGTGTCAAGACAAGGCTGATGGTTGCACCAAAGTCCTATAGGAGCAGATAGTGTAGGAGCGGTCGGTTAGGATGGTTCACGATGCTCGTTGGGCAAGAACAGGGCACATGGATGTATTTGTGGTTGTCTTGGAAGTTGGGATCATGGATGGGACGGAGGAGTGGTAGGGTCCGTCGTAAGGTAGGTGTAGCAGTAGCAGTGTGTGGCGGCTGACAATGGCGGGTGAGATGAGCAAAGTTGGTTGGAGGACTGGATGACGGCAAGACTGGATTGGGCCGTGTCTATCTGAATGGCCGAATGTCTGTGAGTGTGTGTGGGCTCTCTTGCTAGTTGCAACAGAGAAGTCTTGGACAAGTCTTGGAGTGTGGACCGGGAGGAGAGTTGCCCGTGACCAAAAGACACGATGAAAAGAGGATAAGGTAGGTAAGGTAGCAAGGCAAAGGGGGAAGAGGGGAGAGGGAGGGGGGGCTTGTTTCAAAGTCTTCATTGGCTGTTTGAGGCGGCTGTACGCCTAGCATCAAGGTGCTTGGAGACGCTGGCACGCCTGGTTCTTGCGATGCCTTGCTATCCGTGCCGACTCATACCGGGACTGCGGGCAGATGGGGAGAAGGCCGCTTGAGCCTGAGGCTGGTGCCAAAGAAGCCGAAAACCGAGATGGTGCGGGATGATGGCGTTGCAAATTGCATAGCGATATCCGTATACGACCTTGCCTAGTACTTACGGTAAAGGTACGGAGAGGCTTGAGGAACCCAGAAGGCAGGAGTGGCAATGCTAATGGGGAACGTACCTTGGCACGTGTGAAGACGATGGGACCTGCTTGACCTAGTTCCCGGAATTTGACATGTCCAGCAGCAACGGCTCAACGAGTATCTCTATCTACATAGGAACTTGACCCTGATGAGATGCCAGCAACTGCATCTTACCAGACTCAAGGAGAAAGATACGTATTTTGAGGGTGGCAGCGCTAAAAACGGTTTTGTGCCTGGCACTGGAGAGGGAACACGGGGGGAGTACCTTACGAATAGAAAAAAAGGTATAAGGTTGATGGGTAGAGTTGTATTGTGTCTCGGTACCTGCAGGAACGGTGTGGCAGATGAGGAACTCGCCAACTCGGGATGCAGGAAAGAGGAAGGAAAAGTGGAAAACGGGGGAGGAAAGTGGAGGGAAGGAGACCGAGGAGTTGAGCAGGTGGGGACGCCATCCCGTGGCTCCGGCAGCTAAAATGTCTTGTCAGGGGGCAATTCGACGGTCCAACCACCTTAATTGGCTGCATTAAGGTTTAGCACACCCCAAGACAGCGGGAGGGTTAATTTGCGTAAGGTTAGGTAGGTATCTAATGAAGAACCTGAACCTCGGGGGAAGGAAGAAAGAGACAAGCCTTCCAAATTGGCAATGACAAGTGACAAGTACATCGGGCAATTCTACTTCGCAATTTGTTTGGTGCAATGGGGGAAGGAGGGTCTTGCTGAGATCAGTTAATCTATCTCTCTACCTTATCTGGTTGACATTTCTTGGAAAGCATGGAGGGTACCTAAGGTACGGAGTACATCTCGGACTTTGTTTGGTCAATTAGGTACATTCTTCTTGTCACGATTCCTTCCTTACATCATCAACCTCTCGGTATTCAAATGTCACAAATTCGCTAATTCATGACACTCTCACTCACTTTGTCGAGAGGCCTCCCCTTTTCTAGGCCATGCCCAGCACAAATTGTGGCATCTGTACGGATACTCTCTGTATGCAAAAAAGAGACGTCCCATCGCCCAGGGTCCGAGCGAGTGCCGTGTACGGAATATCGGCCGGGGGGGAGCCACTTAGCGAGATGCCAAAACACGACTCGAGACGATTCTGTCACAGCTCCCGCCTCCTCGACCGCACACTGCTCCTTCGCAGCGCTAGCGCAACTGCGTGCCGTCTCAACCAAGCTGGAGCTGTCATGGCATCCGACTTTTCCATCCATTCTCTCCCTTGAATCCCTTTCGAGTCACTCGCCATTGTTCCCGCGTACCACCACATTACAGGGCCTAACTCACTAATCACACAGTCACGCTCATAGATCACTGCGGGATTTCTGGTTGGAGTCAAGGTTACTCGCACTCGCTCACTCACTCATTCCACCCGTTCTACCCAGTAACATCCTAGTCAAGTGACTTCACCATGCTCAACGACAGTTACGAGACGAGACAAGACAGCCCACCTCCCTGTTGATGGCACACCAAGCTCCTCACCTGCACGACTGCGGCTCCGTTGGCAGCATCATCGTCGTCTCTACTATCCCTGCTTCTGTCTCCTCGTTCCCGTTCGTGCGCTGGGCACTCTTGAGCGCTCTCTCTTTCTCTTTAGGTCGTCTATCGTCTCTCCGTCATCCATCCGTTCGCAACATAGACACCCCTGCTTCCTGTTCCTGTTCCTCCCAACCCTGAACCTTACTACCCCTACTACGACACTTCGTACCACCACTCACTCTCCACCCATCTCGTCTTGGCTTTTTTGTTCTTAATTTGCTCCGAGCTTGGGATGGCAATGCCGCCGTGGGCCTGTGCTTCATGTGCTTAATCGGACGCTGCATCCCCGAGCAACGAACCGCCCAAAGACACCTCGTCTTACACGCACCAGACCCCTGCTCTATCTCCATCCTCCTTGCCTCTCGCCCTCTCCCCTCCCCCCACCCCCCTTCTGCACACGAAGGACCCCCGGAGGCGTTGCTTGGCTGCACTTGGCTTGCATGACCGGGGTCCAAAGTGCTTGGTGCCTTTCCAACACGTCCCAAGGACGGGCTGGCGGAAGATTTTCTCGTCCTGTTTCGTCGAGGTCGATGTTGCGGCCGGGAAGGGGCTGTCCCATGCCATGCCCTGCCATGACCATACTCCGTACCACACGCAGTAGAGTATTTTCCTAGTATCCTACTCAAAGCACCTTGGCCCATGACATGGGATAACGAACCGATAATGCGACGTGGCTCGCGCTCCTCATGCTAGCCGAGTCTCGCTCGATTTAAGCTCTCTTCCTCCCCCCTCATCCTCGCCATCAGAGAGGTTTCTGTTTCTTCTCCCCCATCTCTTCTTCATCCGCCTGTCTTCACTCATTCCCTGTGTGACTTTCGTTCTCTTTTCGATTCCGTGTTCACTCTTCTTCGTCACGAGCAGGCCCTCGCCATTAAAGCCATCCAGCTATAACTAAATCCTTTTATTCCCTTTCGACTTTCTAGCCAGGCTCTAGCAGTCTCGCCAACTACCAAATCTTCAGAGAAGAGAATTAAAAAGAGAAAAGAGGAGGCAACTATAGGTCGCATCATCCTCGACAAACGAAAAGAAAAGGTCACCCTAATCGACACCGACGACAACATCTAAACAGTCAATATGAAGTTCTCCGCAGTGTTAGCTCTCTCCGCCGCCGTCATGGCCTCCGCCAAGTCGGTCCGCAACCACTACCCCGTCCGTAGAGATGGTCACAAGAAGGGTGAAAAGGGACAGGCTCAAGCTGGACAGATCGCTGGCCTCCCCGCAGGCATGACTGGGTTCGGAGTCTCCAACAGCCAGGTCACCGAGGTTATCATCATTTGGGCAAACCCGGGTGCCGGAGCCCCTACGATCAACATCAACCCTCCCGCCGGTGGTGCAGCTGCCCCTCCCGCTGCCGCCCCTCCTGCCGCCCCCGCTGCTCCTCCCGCCGCTCCCCCGGCCGCGCCCCCGGCTGCTCAGCAGACTCACCAGGTCAGTAGCACAAGTTGGAGCTTAGCTCTGTAAGCGAAATCGTCACCACTAA